CCCCCCGTTTTGACCATGCGTCTAGAAAACCGATTTATCCATTGACAGTAATGCTTTTGCTGTGATTCTTCTTCCCATTTTTCCTCTTTATTGCTATGTGTCTAAAGAAATCTTTGTGTCATCCCACCCCAAGTTCTCCCCTTTCCTTTCTCAATTATTTCTTTGTTTCAGGTTTAAGCGTGAATTCTCCTGGTACCCCAGACCAATTTCTCCTTGTTGTCAAGAGCAGCCAGTGACATTCACTGGAGTAGGGCTCCTCAGGGAGCCTGCACCAACATCTATTAGACAGCTGTCACTGCTGTTCTGGATGTCCTTTCCCAGTACTAAGCACCTGGGTTTTGCTCAACCCTGTGTGTTGATTAGCAACACCCTCAAAAGTCAAGCCATTTTGGCTATCAGGAAGGGTAGTTAATACAGACATTTGGTTATGAGCTTGTTCATTATGCTTCACATCATTGACAGGCAGCACCCGGCTCATCACCAGAGGGCACAGGTAGGAATGAGGGACTGGTGATGCCAAGCACCAAGCCACCCTGATACACGATGTACCATCATTAATGCTGGTGCTGTGACAGATCCAGCCAGCCAAGCTCAGGTCAAGGCCTTTATTAGTGGGTCAGTAATACCAATTGCCCTGGCTGGTGCTCTCAGTAGAAGTAGGAACTTTAGGGCTATTCACATCAAGTTAAGCCACTGTCCCATCACAGCAGGCTGGGCAGAGCCCTCAGTATGTGGTTTGGCTCAACTCCGGAGATGGAAGATCGGTGGGATAAAAGCCATTTACTTAGATGTGTCATTTACTTTGATGTTCATTTACTTACAACAGCCTTAAAGTCTGGACAGCCGAATGTCCAGCACCACAGATGAGGAGCCACAAGTGGGTGCTTGGCCGTAGGCTGTGCGCCAGGCCACTGGCCCTTGTCTTGCTCAGCCAAGAGAGATCGGGGCAGACTGAAATACTCCCGATTTTCTGGAGTGGGTGCCGGGGGCCTGTGACGTGTCCAGGCCAGGCTGGCTCCACTCACGGGGGTCTGGGGGGGCAGGAGGCAGCCGTGCCGTGCCCCTGAGATCTAGCTCTGTCACAGCCCCGGGGACAGGGAGGGGGGCGCCTTCCTCCCCCTCCCCTTCTCGCCCCCCTGCTCCCTCCCCCGGCCGCACAGCCGCGCTCCGCTCCCGGCAGAGTCTCTCGGCGTTTCTGCTCAGGTTCCCGTCGCCGTGGCCGAGCAGGGGAAGGGGACGCGGGCGGCCCCGTCGGACTCCCGCTCCCCTCCTTCCTTTCCCGCGGACAAATCCAGCAGCGGAAGCTCAGCGCAAACCCGACTACCCGCAGGAGCCTACGGCTGATGCTTGTCCCCGGAAAACGCACCCTCCCTTCACGACGAGTCTTCTTCTAGTGCTTCTGCCTCTCCATGCTGTTTGGAGGGTCCCACTCTTCCCCTCCCGCTCCCCGCCAGGACATCACGTTGCTTTGTGACCATAAAGATTTCGTTTTTATCTTTTCCTCCTGAACAACAGGGACCAGCGGATTTTGTCCCCTCCTTGAAGAACTCCTGCTGACCACGACGCTGAGATGTGAGAGTGGCCTGACCAGCAGAGATGTGCCCTCGGGGTGTGGGCTGCCGAAAAGAAGCACGCTTTGGTTTCGCTAGGACTTGCAGAGCTGCCACCTCTGTTTCCCAGCAGCAGAGCTGCAGAGGGCCTTTGCATACCAGCTGGGGAACCTCTGGGAGCACACCAGCCATCTGGTCATTTCAAGCCTAGGAGCCACTTTCTCCAAGCTGAAAATGTCTACCTCTGTGCTTCAACCTTTTGCATCTTCCGTTGACTTCACATGCTAAAGAAACATAATCCAGGGGCTTAGTCCCCATTTCACTACCACCGAGACATTTACTTCTGGTGAGAACAGGGTTTACAGCAGCCTACTGCTTGCTTCAGAGGGCAGCACCCAGGTGCCGGGGCTCTCAATTCTCTGTGAATATGCATGTTTATGGGATCAGTGTTGGTTTTCTTTTACACAGAGCACAGGATCTCCCTTTACATCGGCCAGAAAGGCTGGAAAGATTTCCTCTGGCCCCCTTCCGCATCTGTTTGAGAGAAGAGATGGGGCAAAGCCTGCAAAATGCCCCCACTCAAACAGTGGGGCAGAGGATGTCAGTGCTGCTCAGGGTGGGCCCTGTGCTCAGTGAACCTCACTTTTCAATGCAGAAAAGCAAAGTGCTCGAGGCAGAGGGGCTCTGAGCTTTGCTGAAAGCCCACAGACCAGCATCCTGTCCTCCATGTGCATGTGGTTAAGGGTAGGTGGGGAAAAAGTTTATTGTTGGTAACCTCTCATAGAAACACAGTTATCTTTGGTTTTAAGCTCCATGAATGTTGGGTGGGGGTTAAGGCCTGCTCTTCTGCCTGGCTACAGCTGCTCCTGACACCAGCCAAATGGAAACAGGAGCATAGAGGCCACGTTTGGAGGAAGGACTTTACCCCTCCCAGGCTTATATTTTGTTATCTGGGCAAGGCTGCTTTCACTGGGAAAATGCGTTTCCTGTCCCGAGCCTTTTTTCAAGCTGTCCTGATGGGAAGGGGAAATGAAGCACAACCAACTGTTACCCAGAGCCAACAGCAGGACTGCAGGCACAGCCCAGACTTCTGCACTCACATCCATTCTCTCCTTCAGGGCTCAGGCTTCAGTGGGACTGAGACTGTCCCACCTCCCTTTTCACAGAGTGGGAATCAACTGCCTGCTCCAGTGGACTGCTACAACAAAATGTTTACAGTCTGGTAACTTCCAGCTCCCCTAGGGCAGAAGAGGGGGTGCCATCAGGCTCTTCTCCCCCAGCTCTCAGGTGGCTGAGGAGTTTCAAGGGGCCAAAAAAAAGCCCCTAGAAAAGATGGGGCAATAGCACTGTTCTGTTCAGAGCTGCAGCTAGGATGGGTGACTCACTGCTCTCCCCCACGCCAAATGGAGAGTGAGCAAAGGCTAGGCTTAACTTTCCCACCAGTGCTTTATTTTTAACCTGAGCCCTTATGTGGGCAATTGTGTGAATTTTGGCCAGTGGCCTTTCTCTTCAGTAACTTCTTTTTGTCTGGACAATCTTGGTGCTGTGAGTGACTGTGATTGTAAAACTTGGTACTGTGAACTTTTCCTATGTGATGTGAGATGTGTTGAGGGGATGCTAAGTTCCTGGCCAAAGGAGGTGTGATCAGGTATATTATGCTTGTATAAATATTTATTTCCTTGCACCTTCCTTTTCCAGCATTAAACAGAGTAAAAGCTCAGAAAGAACAAACTACAGTATTATTCAAGAAAGAATGAGAGGATACCTGTACCTAGGAGTACACAATGCTTTCATCAAACAGCTGAAGAAAAAAGAAAACAACAAACAACTTTGCCAAAAACTAGGCGAAAGAAAAGCTATTCACCCCCAACTATGTTTTGCTGTTCCTACAGCTAAGTTCACAATAGCACCAAAGCATGTAGACAAACATCCCTTATACACCGAAATGTAAGCATAGTTGAGACACTAGAATCACAGCAGAATTACTAAAAAGTCTTACTTCAGTACCCCTTCAAAGCACATAAGTTGCTGTTTCAGCAGCAAGTGCCTTTTTCCATTTAAGACATTATTGAGAAAATGGCATATTTTAAATTCATCTAGCCATGGCACATTTAAACCACTGACAGCGAAATCACAGTTCAAATTTGTCCATGGATGCAGAGGTTGCCTGGGTCAGATGACCCTGCAAAATGATGCTTCTGTTGCATAGAATTGCTTTGTAGAAAAAGTGGCTCTTTGTATTGCCACGGTTTCTAGGTTGTTAGTAAATGTGCTGTTTGGAGAGCGTAAAGCTCTCAGAGTAGCTGGCTGTCCAGAAGCCCCCTTGCAACTAAAAAGACAGCTCTCCTGCTACTTCAATTACTTCCTACAGAGAAAGATTTAAAGCTCCTCAAATTCTTGTTTATAAGCCTGCTCCTCCTTTTGAATTCCCTTCTTTGGTAATTGAGCTCTCGCTTCCATTTAAACCCTTCTGCCACAGAATAGATCCATTTGCAGAAGAGAGATAGTGGTACCATTAAAGTGCAAACAATACCTCACCCAACGCACCTTGCACACCTGTTGTATATTCTGCCAGCATTAAAATACTGGTCCAGGTCAATAACACTTTGCTAAACGAACTCATGCCATATTAAGACATACATCCCTTGGGATTCTGTTACAAGCCTTGTAACACAACTCAGCTATTCAGCATTTTATTGCTCTCTGCTATCCTGACAAAATGACTACTCCCAGGAGGGGAAACTGAAGTGAGAGACAGGGCCTGTGGCCAATTGACACTTGGCATCCCCCTGGCATTAATCAGAACTTGTATTTTTTAAAAAGCAAGATTGTTAAAATAAAATTAGAAACTTGTGACCAATTTTGCTATTTTTTTCCCTCCTTTGAGTCTTGCCGGGCTATTCTATTTTGCATTCAGGGACCAGCAGATGCATTAAAGTTACTGGATTTCCTCATGTTGGATTACTAAAAGTGTCTAGATTTTTCCCCTCAAACAAACTTCTTGCAAATGAAAGCAAATTCTAAAAGCTGTAACACCAAGGGAGTTTATGATAAGGGAATGACTAATGCAAGAAAATCCAGATGACACTTCTGAGCTTCCGATTTAAATGATTTCTGGGAATTCATACCACTTGAAAAAGGCTCATAGGGAGAAAAAAAATCAGATTTACATGTTAATTGCTGTAAAATAAAAGAAAATTTAAGAAATGGGATCATCAAGATGACATTCACATAATCTGAGAAATGGGTTCTCACTGGAAAAGCGTTGAGATTGAAGCTGCTGGGTTGGAGGACCTGTTGGGGTGGGTCCTGTACAGACAGGAAACAAAGGTGGCACACAGCCTTAAGTCTGGATCTGTGCAGGGACTGTCCCTTTGTTAGTCTCTAGGCATCTGGCAGCAGAGAAAGCAAGCTGTCTTAACTGTCCTGCCTCACTGAGCAGCCTTGCACAAAAGTTACAAACATTTCCCATCTTTTAACACCCATTTAGAGGGACCACACACTTCCCACCCAAAGGCCATCAGCTGTATCCAGCTCAACTGGATACAGCCGCACCACTTTGCAGGAACATTGTGGCAGTTGTCAGCCAGTTTAGCTCTGGCTCTCAGTTTTGCCTCAGATTACTACAGGAAATACTAACATAAGGAGTTAGAATTGAGGCCATAAACATGTTGAAGTAAATATATCCAAAAGTATTATTGTTTTTTAATTTAAGGAATAAAACACATAAGGAATAAAACAACAAATACAATTATAAACATAACACAATATTGGTTGCAAGTCAAAAGAACAATTAACTTCTGAGATATCAGATTTTTAAAAAGCTGAAATAAAATTCTTAAGATTTTTTTGATGAGTAAATTTGAGAGGAAGATGACAAGCTTGTCTGAACACAAAAGAGAGAGAGAAGGTAAAGGCCTGGATGTATTTACATGTCAAGCTGTTATCCAGTGGGCCAGACTGCAGAAATTGTGACAACAAACAGCATAAACACCAGCCTCATCTAGTCTGCCACCTGGTCAGTACTAAATGGGCCAACATGCAATCAATCACAGGCATCAAGCCCACTTTTTAACAAACACTGGAATTGATACCATCACTGCTCCCAGAAGATGAACTGAACTCCTTAATCTATTTTTCACAATGGTTAATCTGAACTACATGTGCTTGAGTTTATATCCACATAAGTTTTACACACATTTTAGCTCAGCCTCCTCTAACTCTGTTACAATTTCTAATCTAAAACAGCATCTGCTGAAGCTACAGTTTTTTTCTCCTCCAAAACAGTCTTCCATGTCCTTAATTGCTTGTCACTACCTACACCTTCAGTTCAAGTCTTCCTGGTGCTAAGATGTCCAAAAGCAAACAGCACTGCAGCAGTGCATTACAGAATACACCAGATTCCCCTGATTCAGTTAATTCTGTATTCAGCCCTAGATCCTTCTTATAATTGTATAGTAAGTCCATTATTCCTCTTCCCTCCTTCCTCCTGTTGGCTTTCAAGCACATATCTCCCAGTAGGGAGAGATATGAAGACTCCTCATGTACAATTTTATCCCACTCAGTTACTGAATGGCCATGGAAATGAAGTTGCAAATGAATGAATGAGTGGCAAAAGAAAAAACAAATAGACAGCCCTATCCTAGCTGAAGTTTAAGGCACATCTTTAACACAGTATTTACAACAAAAAATTAAAAGTGTGTATTAAAATGGCAATGCAAATTTTGTCATGTTATCTAAATTTATTTTCCAAACCCTGGCCATGACTTCTATCCAGTGCAGTAGAACCAGTACAGCTGGAGGGCATTTTGAAGGCACAAGTGGACGAGCCACAACTTTTTTGCCATCCATCAGTGAGGACTCAATGTCATACGTTTCCCCAAGGAACACAACTATTGCCTGTTCTTTCACAGTGGTGGCTAATATTCATTGCTTCTCTCCACATAGAGTTGCAGTTGGAAGCAACGTTACCAGTTTGGTGGGCAATCCTGCCTCCTAGCAGACGGGACGATCCCACCAGTAAGTCACTGATAATACAAGGATGGTGTTGGAGATGCAGTTTCAGCACTGCACATGGTACCACCTTCCATCCCTGTATTTCAAATGGAGCAGGTCCCAGATAGAGTCTAGCAGTCCTCCAAAGCTTGGCCAGTGTCCATCACCTCAGCTTGATACCCCCAGTCAGAGCTCCGTTGAATGTCCTGGAAAAACAGCTGCTGCTGAAGACTCTTTAGACTGTTCAAGACCTCTGGAGAGAGTTCATGGAAGACCATCTGTTTTTCCTGACTCTCCTCCTCCTCTTCCTCCTCCTCCTCCACAAGGTCATCATGAGGCAGAGGAGAACATCTAGAGATGTAGCCCTGGTCTGACTGCACTGACTGTCTTTGGTCTTTGCATTGGTCATCAAAGACCAACTGGTTTTGCTTGTCAGCCTCCTCTTGGCAGAGAGATGGCTCTGAAGGAATTACACTCTGCTGGTAAAGAGAGTACATGAGCCCATTCAGATGGTGTCTCAGTTCACCTGAGAGATTTGCAGGACTCTGGTCATCTATAGCTGAAACTTCAGAGTCATTGTGGAGGATGATGCTATTCCTCATTGGAAAGCTTGTCTCCAGAAAAGGAACTCCTTCCATAAAGTCTTCATTACTCAGCACATGATGACCAAGTATATTTCCATCTTCCGTGGAAGAGACTGGCTCTACTACCTGAACTAGAGGAGCCTCATCCATAGGAAGTACCATAGTCTGAGAAGTCGGATCCCCACATGGATTAAGTCGAGGTTGCAGTTTACAGCCTCTGCTTTCACCTTCATGCATGTGGAGGTTGATGACATAACAGCAGTCAGGGTCAGGCTCCCATAGGTGCAGCTGGTGTTTCACAATTCCACCCGATTCACTTAATGAATCCACCTGGCGCTCTCTGTTTAGGGACTGCAACTCCTCATCATTATCCAAGCAGACAGTTTCACTCTCAAACCAGTCTGGGTGCTCTGTCTGCCAGTTCTTGAACTTTTGTATTGCCTCTTTCAACTTCCTCCCACTAGGGGTATCGATGTAATTTTCAGCTGTGATTTCCTGGATTCGATGGATGCGCCCAGGTTCAAACTTCTCCAAGTCCTGAATCCGAAAATAAATATCCTCAAATTTATCCATTAGTTGGTACCTGGATGTGACATTGAACAGATCAGGTATATCTTTCTCACTACTTATCCCCTCAAAATAGCAGACTATATACATTCCAAAACAGGCTGGCTTCTTGAAATCTGGCAGAATCAAATTCAAGGCTGGGGTGAACAGGTCACCCATTGGCTTTTGCTGATCTTGCTTGAGACACACAGGCTCACTCCCAAGCATGGCCTGCCATTTGGCCTGGGTGCCCCGTGAACATAAGATGATGATCTTTGAAGACAGGTCTTCCATTTCCTTCTTCTGCCGAGTAAGCCAAGGCAATGGCCCTAACTCTGAGATCTGATGATCTTCTAGCAGATCTAAGGCTACAGCAGTGCCACAGACGGTCATCAGAAACTCAGCAAACTTCAGCACCACATCCACGTACAGCAGGTGATCAGCAGAGTACACAATCCAAACCTTTCGGGGCTTCAAGGGTGGCAGAGGAAGGTCGGTATATGGTGCTGCTGAAAGACAGAAAAATATTCATCCCAGCTATATGCCCAAATTGTAAAGGTGCAAGCCAGCAGCAATCAGCATAGGAGAATATTAACAAAAGGTTCTAGCAACTACTAGTTTTGAAACTATTTCGGCAGCATAAGCAGACACCATCTCATTGTAGAAATTCAATACCAAAGTCCAGACAGTGGAGCTATAATTTATAAAAATGCCCAAATGGTTCATGGAATTTCACAAACACAAAAAAGTAATATACCAGCTTTAAGAGGCTTGAAAGTGTAGCTATATTCTCTGCTGGAGAGCTGAGTGCACTCACCCCCCCAAAAATCTCCTATTGCTATGGCTTAGACAATTATCAAAGGTTCTTCTGCCAGTACAGCCTCAGCTGGGTCAAAAGCCTCACCACTTTACAAAGCAATTATCTCCCATCTGGCAAATTACGGCATTCCAAATTCCATATACAAAGTTTCTTTTAGCTAAACAGGAGGATCCTAAGGCTACCTTTTGGTTTTAAGAAACACACTACAGAATAGGAGAGCCTAAGAGAGCCCCTTCTGGACAACCGTGGGAGACTTCCAGAACACATTACACATGCTTGACAAAACAGGCAGGACATCTTACCGGTCTGCAAATCATTGTGGTCGCATTTCCCTCTCCAGCGTCCTGGAAGAGAGAGAAACTCACTGTCAGTTCTGAAAACACAAAGTAAGATTAAACCCTTAAAATGACAACCCCTTCCAAAGATTGGGTTAAAACCAAAATCTTTAGTTGTGCAGGGATAAAACCATGAGGAGGAAGAAGTCTAATAAAAAATGAATAAATGAACAAAGACTCTTCTGCAGCCAATTTTGCTATGGATTTCACTATATTTTTCCTTTGAGAGAAGGAATGCACTCAAAACCAATTTTATCCATCTTTCCCACATCTGGCCAGCCTTAAGTAGTACAGAAACCCAATTGTTCTGCTACCTCCTCCTTAAGGAGAAGAGCCTTAATAAAGATATTTTTTTCTTAAGAGGCTTCTCTAAAGAGGTGACTAAAATGTCCCTAGCTACATGTTATCCAAGATAAGTTTGATGTTAAGAAATTTTCCCAAAGATTTCCCATTACTACTCTCAGGTAGAAAAAAAACCCCACAGTGGAGTTTCCCTGTGATAACTCCCTCATAGTTGCAACACAAAAGACTAGAAATTAGTTCTCAAGTACCCAAATTTTCTACCTGCTCAGTGTCAACCTCTGTGTTCTGTTTTTCTTCTTCCATCTTAATTGAAAAACATTAAGCTCAAAATAATATAAAAATGAATTTTGTAAAGACTTTGGGGGACAGAGGAAAGACTAGAGTCTGGACAAACAGGAAGCTTCTGTCTTGCAAAACTCTCCTGCAACGCAGGAGAAAAATAAATGGAAAAGATATCTGTAGCAATCTGCAGGAAACAAAAGGGCTGAACTATGAAGTTCCTTTTTCTCCTCATGAACTCTGAAGCTCTATGGAGTATCAGACAGCATAACCAGTGGAAAGCTTTACTTAACTAAGTGGATGGTATTAGGATGTTACAAGTTGTATGATGTAAAACAGAATACCTAGGCATTATCTCAGTGGCAAGACATCAGAGCAGCAAGGAAGAAAACAACAATAGGAAGAAGTATAGAAGGAGGAAAAAAAACCCCAGTTTCAGCATTGAATCTTTTCTTCCTAGCTGGTATGAGTCTTACCTGCTCGTTTTTTGGTCATCCAAATCACACCTGCTATGACTGATCCCACCAGTAACACACAGATCCCAGTGATACACCAGTAGAGCCATATAATCATATCACCTGCAGTACAAAAGTAGTGCTCAGATATTGCTTTACACAGAAGGAGTTTCACCAAAGAACAGAAGTCTCTTGAGCAGTAGAAGCCAAGGGAGAAGGACCCTGGCTCTGCCCAAAACCACAGGTAGTCCAGCACTTCCTCCTTAAAACATACCACAGTCTCTTCTCAAAACAAACTCCTGCGTTGATGATAACGCTCTACATCATAAACTTGCTCCACAAAGAACCATATGTGCAGCACACTGAAAATACAGATCAATAACCTCCCTCTAAATAGCACCATTTATCTGCTTTGACAGGCATGCTGCCCATGACCTGCCTGTTCATGTAATCTGTCTTAAAAAAAAGGTCACTATTTTGGGTGATGTAGATTTTTTCAATCTACAGGTGTGTTTTTAAATCTTGGGCAAACTAGTTCCTTACAGGTGTTGTGCAGCCAAAAAAAAAAAGATGTAAAATCATTGTGCATATGATTTATCTTGACATTCATAAAGATGAATATATGCAAGCTATTCTCTCCAAAAGCTGCTTTATATTATGCAAATTTTTTAACACTGAGCAAAGTGACAGAAAGTATTTTATATTAAGACTCTTCTTGTCAAAACTGTTTCTCAGAATTTTATGCAAGTGAAGTATCTCTAAAAAAACCTGCTCTTTAAGGTTCACACTGCATACAAATACTTGCCTCATTAAATGATGGTGAAGTAACTCTTAACACAGTTCATTCTGAACTCAGTGTTACAAGGGGACATTTCCTGCCCACTGGGTCATTCCCAGGGAGGATTGTTATTCTTTATGACAGTAGAAGAGCAGCAAAAAAAGTTTCAGGGTACTGGAAGAACTTCTTACCTGATGGGTCTGTACCTGCAAAAGGCAAGAGATACATTACAAATTCAGCTATCATCTGTAAGACAATAGGAATCTAGTTTACAGAAAAGCAGTTCTCACTTGGAGCTGACGAACATGGGATGAAAGCAGAATGTCTCAGACAGTCTGTGCCACAGTTCACAAAGAATGGCTGAATCTGCAGTCGAAATAAATTCAGAAAATAGAAACTATTCTTAAGAGCAATTTTGTTCCTCACTTTATTTCCCCCCCGCTTCGACATTCCTTGTATTTTAGTACAGGGACACAGAATTCCCATTTCCCTTCAAAAAACAAGATTAAACAAGGATTCCTACACTATACATTAAGGTGGCAGTGAGCTCCTGAGGTGGCACACTTGCCATTCCAACTCCATATTCTCTGACTTGGCAACCCTATACTAAGGAAAAGACACTGTCTACAGAGAATACCTATATAAAAAAAAATAAATGTTCAGACATAATCATTATTTCCCCGATGCACGTAACAGAGGTTAGCCAAACTCAGAACAAAACACTTTGCAAAACCCTGTAACATTCCTAAGCTGCTCCTTGTCTTGCTGGTGAAGGAAGGACACAGGGACAGCAGTGAGATTCTACCTGTATTTTGTAGTTGCAGCAAGCTCTTATGTTCTTCTCTATTTTGATTGTGACATTCACTTGCTGTTGCAATCCACCCTGCAGAATCAGATGCAGATTATAAGGGAAGTAAGACAATGGAATGAAAGCAGGAAAAAAGGAGCTGACATAAGAATATGGAGTGTTCTAAAGAAGCAGGATTTTTTTTTTTTTTGAACAAGCACCCCACAGAGAACAAAATGGATAAATAGCCTGGCCACCATCACTGCAGGTGTCCCGTGTGACAGACATGGTAATACAATTAAGACAGCAGGCTAAAGTTGCACAGGTAACAGGAAATAATTAAGGATGTATGTTATATAACTTCAAATGTGTTAACTTAGTCTTACAGTTTCTTAACAATGTAAATGTCTTCAGTTATTTAATGTGTAAACTTTAACAAGCTTCCTCATTTAATTAAAACCAGCTGTCAACACTGCTGCTTCTGACACTAGAACAGACAAATAAATTACCCTCGTTACTTGTTGTATACAATCAATATAAAAATCTAAATACATTCTTTACAGTGATTAGCAGATACATACTCCAAATTGAGGTATATTCCCCGCTACCAGGGAAATATGTACACAGCCATACCAGCTAGTCAGTAGTAACTTAATACATATCAATGTATGTAGTACAAAGGGTTTAAGTATGGAAGGAAAGGAAAGACTAAACAAACTGAATGCTAATATATCTGCCCTCCACCCAAAGAAGGGTGGGGACTGCTACCAAACATTCAGCATTTATCCTCCCTCAGATACCTGAAGGGGAACATTTCTTATGTCAAAAGACACTCTGGATCTACTTTTTGCCTCTCAGCAACACAGTTAAGACCTACAGGAATTGATTCTCACCTTGATGGAAGTATGTTACAAACCCACCCAATCTCTTGATCTAAAAAAAAAATTTAATCAACACACACCCCCCCCCTCCACTATCACATTTGATAAACTATTTCAATGATTTATTGAAACTTTGCACCTCTGTTTTGGTCGATTTAGTTTCATCCCTCAGGCAATGGCTTGACAAAGGTAATAAAGCCCAGATAGTCAAATACCAATTTTTGTTTTTCTCTGCAGATGTTCACAGACTGCTCCATGCATTATAAAATTCTGTTTCAGGAATTTGTTGAATAAAAGATCAAAGTTCCTCTTTCCAAAGGCAATTAAAAATCTGTGAAAAGGACAGCTGTTTTCAAGGAATTTAAGTGCATTTGTTATGTCTCCTACATCATGGCTCCAAGTCCTTGTTCAGCAACCATCAGAGAAATGTTTGCCTAAATTACCACAGAGGATATAATTTAGGAAGGTAATTACCTCAGTGAAATCACGTGTGATCATTTTACACTTCTTCTCATTCAGGAAACTGGCCACATGAATTTGGTATCGGGTTGACTCCATCCATGGATTAAAGCTCACGAGCAGAATTGTATCATCTATAACTTTACCTTGGATCCTGGGCTCCCACAAGCTGCCTGGAATTAGTGCAGATATTCCCAAGTTTCTCAACTGTCAGAAATATTTCGACAGAATACCCATGTCTACATGACTCAGACAAATTTTTACCTGTCTTTATACATGGGATGGTTCTTTTCATCAGAGAGTCCTTGCAGTCTGCAAGAAAGACCATCAGTGACTAGTCAGGAACATTGTACTTCCATTTTGAAAAACTATCCAATTTCTTATCAGAAGCCAGACACCTAACCAAGCCCTCCTTGATGAGACGAGACTTTTGTTCAAAAGCAGCAATAAAATTCCGCAGCAGAATAGTACTAGTTTCCAGTATATAAACGAGACCCTCCACTGATATTACGTTTCTTTTTTTCCCAGAACAGTGATAATAAGAAAAGACCGAAAACTTAGAATACTTATTATAATGAGTAATATTTGACAACCCTTGCTAATGTAAGACTTGTGTAGAGAGGGTCATAGTGGAATTAAAACTTCATATTGATCTCTGGACCTTGAGAACGCCACAGTGATCAATTCCTTCAAAAGCACTCTTTCCCAGGAAAACTAGGAGACTGGAATGTTTCTTGATCCCAAACACTCTTCCATATTTATAATTCTCTTCACTTAATTTAGCAGATTGGCCTGCTGTTTGTGAATTTCTTCAGTCAAATTCACAGTTACATATTCAACATTTAGCAATGTGTGATTTACAAGCCTCAGCCTACATTATGTCTCTCCTCCAGGGTTTGGACAAAGGAAAAGGAACAACTCCCTGCTTAAACAGTTGAAATAAAATATTGCATATCTTAAATTTTCAACTTTCAAAGCTGGAAAATTTACAGTGCCCCTGTAATTCATGTATAAGTTCTAATCAGCGAAGTTCCCTGCAACTGCTATCTTCACACAATGCATCAGGTTTCTGAAGAACAGTGGAGAATAAAAGCCAGGAAGTTCTTAGAGTGAGCAGGTGTAAGAAAGGATAAGAGGGCTGAAAACCAAGTGCCCCCTCTCCTTTTCCAGCTCAGGTTGACTGACACCATATACTCTGCCATTTTATAATGGCAAAGTCATGTTGACAACTGTAAGCAAGTTAAGAATAAAATTATGAACCAGTTTTAAATCTCTGTATTGAGTGTCAAATATTTACAAACTAGTCAGTGCAGACAGGGCATTGCAGATGCTCAGCATCTTTGGGGAAAACAAAGACTCTTTTCAGTTACGGGAAAATTTTTACATACACAAGAAAGGGTCAGGCACTCAGCTCTGTCAAGTTTTTTGGTAAATTATACCTAACTGTGCCTTTGAAATCAAACTTCACATGTCTAAAAGTCAATATTAGAAACCAAATTTTACTCCTTTCAATGTGGGAATTCTGGTCAGTACTTCCAGCTTCCACAAGCAGAGTAGCAACTTCAAAACACTTCAAACTACGTAAAAGCAACAGCAACAGTCTGCAGAAAGAACAAAAGATGACTCTACAGCCCCATTCATGTACATGAAGTATCTTTGCACCTGTTCCACTGATGAACATTTCAGCAACAAAATCCAGGAGATGTAACTTACCTTCAAACAACCCCTCAGAGGGGCATCTATATTAGTTTTCAGGTTTAACTATGAATTTCTCTTTAGCCGTAGCTGTAACAGAATTCTTGACAAGCTACAAATAAAAGTTCTCAGAAATTAGAGGCCCAAGTCCAAGGCTTTTTCCAGCTTTCTAGAGAGCACATGAAACTTTTTATAGCCATATCTTCCATGTAGGAACTATAATCAAAGGGTCTGTCCTTCACAGAATAATCCCTCCAGATGAACCTTATTCTGAGCAGAGATCTGATAAACTTCTGGACACAGGATCCCAGAAACAAGGATGGTAACTTGTAGCACAAATGATACATGCATTTTGGATACATACCACAAAGGTATTGTAGATAAAGCTAGCACCATGGACTTTCTAAACAGCAATACTCAGAAAGGACCACAGGTTTTTATAATACTGCCACCCTATCGCCAGACTTGCTCACAGTTCATGGATCTGGTCTGGACCCAACCTGCAGGTCCACAAACCATCACAGTCCTAAGCTCAAGGCCTAAGTGAGCAAGAGTATCTCTTACCAGGCATTGTGACAGACATGGACTTGCAATTGTAGTCTCCGTCTACATCCAGTTTGGGCAGGTGGTAGACAGTCACTTGGTAAGTCTGGCCGGGTTCCACTTCAAAACGGTCAAAAGTGAAATTCCACTGAAAACAAAACACATTCACAAGGACTTAAACCAAGAACATTATTCTATAAAGCCACTGAAATTAACAGCTGACTTGGCCTTGTTCCACTGTGTTTCCTCATCCCATATGACCCTTATTCTGAAGCTTGACTGTTAAAGAAGGATTTCAAGTGTATTAAATACACAGTCCCTTGGTCTGTCTCAAATTATTCTGTTTGTAATGAGAAATGTACAGTTATTTCTTGGGATCTTTGAGCTGATACAACAATCTTACACCAAACAACTGTGTGCAGTTTCCACTAAATTACATTGTGAACTAGAAGGAGATTAGACTAAAATATGCAGGTTGGAGTCTAGTATGAATCTTGCAGTCCAGTGCAAGAGCATTTAGAATTGCACTTATACATGTATAGTTCTGTACTTGGCCATGACATACACATCTTCTTAAATCTATACCCTTTTCCGCATCAGCAATGCTGTGCAAAATGCTGGAGAGGCACTGGCTCCATATTGTAAGCTAACTATGGCCAAATTCTGTGTGGTAAGCAATGAACTCCAGATTCCTTTGTTCATAAAGGGAGATGTGGATGCTCAGCATTCTTCTGACAAATTTCCTAGACTAAGTGTAAGCTGAAGGAGCATCCCCAAGGTTGGCACTTGTCTCCACAGCAAGAGTACAAGAAGTGGAAGTAAAAGGAAGGCTTGAGTTAAAAAGGCTATAAATGTCACTGCTGTCAAGCAGAATGCAAAACCTCCTATAATTACTTGCTTTAAGCAACACCCAGAATGATGATGTGCTAGGTATTGAGAGCAACAATTCTTAAAACCTGAAGGATGGGAAGATTGAAAGAGAAGCCAAGATAAGGAAGCAGCTTGTATGTAGTTACACACAAGTGTAAAACAAACTGGAAACGACAGCAGGTCTCAAGCGCAGTATCTTGTTTCACCAACTCTTCCAAGCAGTTTGTACTTTTTAATCAAGAACCTTGCTGTAAGACAGTGAAAGCAGAACTAAACCCATGGACTAGAAAAAGTAGTTTAGAGCCCTTAGCACTCACCCGGCCTCCATCTGGTCGGACCTGAAGCGTCAAGTTGTTCTGAAAGTCAAACCGGGCGCAGACCTGTCGATTGCTGTTCACCTGCATCACAGCCAGCTCTGCCCCTCGGAGGTACCGGATGCTAGCTGAAGACACGGGGACAGAGAGAGATGCCTTTCTTTTCCTGTCACCTGCACATGTAGAGGTTGCAACCCTCACAGAGATTACCACTGTGCCTAGTCTTATCACAGTCTTACTCCATTGAAGCACTGAGGATCCCAACACAAAGATAACTGGACATAAAGAAGTGAGTGTGCAAGGTTGACTAACATGACTTTCACCTTAAAGATTGTCCTGTATGGCAAGAGCTCCATCTGGGCAAATGAAGGGGCAGAGTAGAAGACAACTTCATTCTTCCAGACACCCTGGCATTTCCACAGGTTCAGTGTTGTGTTTAGCTCTGCCTCTTAAGGCTGCTTCAGGCAGTTTGGGCATTAAAGCAAATACGCTTTTATTTTGGTAAACAACCCCAGTGAGAAAGTTTATAACCATAGCTACACTAAATGGCTGGGTTACTTGAGTCACACCTGCTTCTTCACTACTATGGCTATACTGAGATGGTAACTTTGTACAGCCCTTAGCCAGGCCTGCAGAAGGAAGAAATGAATATGTTTAATTCTGTCCTGAATCGAGTGTAAAGCCATGGACAAGAGCACACAAGGGAAACATCACACACTAATATTTGGAGCATGAGAAAACCTGATTTACTGGTACTCATTTAGGCTCCAGCAATGAGATAATTACTCCTTTATCATATAAGAAACATAAGTTACAAGGACTGGATTACCTGAAATGGGAAGAACTTGCACTGGGTGCAACAGTGCAGAGTTTGCGCTCTCAAATTAATTCTCATTTGTTCAGTTTGTAGATATAATTTCACCTGCATAGGGCTGCTGCAATCATTACTATGCCCTGAAAAGGTGACACTTGCAGTGCAAACCTCCTTCCTCCCTTCACTACCATGGTAAAGGAGCAGACCTCTTGATTCATTTTTAGCTGCTTTTCCCATTTTAAATGTCATTATCCCATACCAGTGGAAGCATGTTAAGCTCTTGAGCACCCATCACAAAAAGACTTGATTCAGTCATCAAGAGAAAAACATCCCCCAAACCAAAATGAAGCAGCCAAACCCCCAAATTTCAAACATTTCACAACTAGATCAGTGAAAGACTTCAAGTCATAATTCTCCTCCATATCCTTGCTAGATCATGCCTAACTCCTCTACTACACACTCACATTAAAGAACCACCACTTACCATCAGTGGCCACTTTCCATTCTATCCGAAGCACAGGGAGCAGTTTTCCATCCAGCTGACGGAAAACATCAGAAGAGACATCAAGACTGCTTGGAGCAGAAGGAGTCCATGTGGACTGAAGCCAGCTTGCCTCCATGCAGGTACCTGTCCAGCAAATGAAACCCACCATTTAAAGTGAAGCTGAGGAAGCTCTACCAAGTTGCAATTATGGTCTGTCCTTTGGCTCAGGATTACCCAGAGGGCAAAACTGGAGGACTGTTTCACAGTTCAGAATGGCAGTTTTCAGCATGTAAGTACTTTATAAATTGCTTGTAATACTCTGAACTCACTCGTTCTAGTAACTTACACTTCCTCTTTTCCTTAAAATCCATTAGTAATTATTGCAATCAATGTAGTCAGGCTAAACAGGTCACACAAGTTTACTCAGTATCTCCTGCAACAAGTCCATATCTTGCTGCTGAAACAGACCTATGTTAGAAGGCCTGTACTAATTTCCAGCCTTCCAATTATAAGAAGTCTGTCAGATACCCAGGGAAATTGTTCCAACAGTTAATTACTTTCTGTTTAAAAACTGCTTTCTAATTTGAATTTAGCTTCCAACAACCGCTTGTTATGCCTTTCCTAAACTAATGAGCTCTCTGGACAGAAAAATAATTTCTGCTAGTCAATACAGCATTAGGGAAAACTGTTTCTGTAATCTCACCAGAAAATGAAATCAGGTGTGACAGGCATTAGATAAACATGATCTACTTAGACTTTAAGACATTTGACTTATCAGAGCATACCAAAAATAGCTCTGCTGAATATCGGTGAAGCACAAACACAGGAAGAACTAGGCTGACAAATCAAGGAGGAGTTTTAAGTGGGAAATCATTACTGTTTGAATGTCTTAAATAGCTCTGTGGGGGTGAGTGTAGGCCTAATGATATTTTTCTAAAAATATTAACAATCTAGAAGAAAATACAAAATAACTTAGGATACAGCATTTGATAACTGTCAGACTTGGGGGGAGGGGAAAGCAGAACTACCAATAAAAACCAATCTGAGTCACTTCGTATACTGGACCCATTCAGACAAAACACTTTTGACACACTGTGATAAACGTCTTTGCACATGTAGTAGGCCATATTTACCTAATGGAATTTATAACAGTATTTATTTATAACAATACTGCTAAAAAACTAGCAGAAAAACTATTGAACATGAGCTGAGTCATGCAATCTATGAATCATATGAATAGACCAGAGTGATCATGTAATATATCAAAAAAGAAAAAAAGATTTAAAACCACTATACAGGCTTTGGAGAGATCAGTATGATATTCTTTAACTACTTGTTGGATCCACACTAAACCACTGTAATACTGGAAAGAGAACAATGAAGAGCAAGAGAATAAATTTGTGGGTTGAACTCCTCAAAAGCAGAACATGTTTTGCTACAAGTTTCAGCTAACAGAAAACCACGCTGTTAATGAAAGATTTTATATTTACTTTTCTAACCAAACCTGGTAAGACTGAAGTACTTTTCAGAAAATAATCTTTCCCCTAGAGCAGAACAACATAAAGAGAACCATAAGGCAGAATTTAAACTAAATATTCAAATAAGGCAGCATTTTAATGGTGAAACTGCAGTTTGCCTTAGCTGTGTTGTCAAGCTGTATTCCAACGGCTGTCTGCCAGAGGGAAATATGATCTGATGCCACCCAATCCCTCTCCTGCCAAAAAAATTTTAAATCTGGCTATTTTCAGGATAGTAATCTCCCTGATCTGGCATGCCAAGCATGGCTACAAAAATACTTGTGCCAGTACAATACAGGGTTGGGCACTGAGGCAGAAAGGAGCCTGCTTATGACTACAGAGAAAGGCCAATCAGTTCTACAGCACCATCCAGACACCTCCATGTACCAAACGGACAAATGCAGAACACTGCTTGTTTTTTTAAGAACATTACCCATAGTGTTTCAGATGTGTGCCATTGCTAAGACTTGACCCGTTATACCAGATATGTCCAGTATATTTGTTCAGTGAGATTTACAGTAACTCTAGTTTCCCTTTCAAAATCATAGAGTCATTTAGGTTAGAAAAGACCTTTAAGATCAAATTAGTTCATGAACTTTATGCCGCAAAATTTACATTAATTACTCTCAGCTGCACCCCTTTATGCCCCTTTTCTAATTCTAGTTCATATATTAATTTTTCAAATACTATCATAGATATAATAGCTTGTAATGAACGCTTACTGACAAACTTGTCCTAGAATTCCTATTTCTTTAAAAACTGACTGTCCCAGCTTTAAATAGAAACTAAACAAGTTGGTTCCACCCACCCTACCCCCCACCCCCAAACTCTATTCTGAAAAATACTTAACTTCCCATTCCTTTTTAGCTGGAGCTGATTAAGGATCAAACCAAAAACTCCTAATGCAAGGCATGATAGCAGTGCTTCATTTTACATCTCTGACTCTAGCAGGAAGAACTTGCTGTATGAACCCAGTTTAAGAAGAAAAATGCATGATCTGCTGAGAAAGCAACAGGGAAGAAAAAAAGTACTTACTATTTCTTACGAGGCAGTTTAAATCCTGTGGAGGGAAAAGAAACAAGAATATTACTCTCAGAACAGCAACTGGATTGACAGTAATTTGCTTCTGCCTGGTGGCAGGAAGAAAGCCATTAAGTCAATAGGGATGCATACAAACTGGAAGAATTAACCATCAGGAAACGTTGTACAAACTTGTTAACCAGAAAACCAAAGTACACAGGGACAAAACCTGTGCACACCTGAACTGCGTATCTGACAGTAATAGTTGCAATAACAGAAATAAAGAGAGGCATAAATGCAACATGATGATGGTAAAAATCTTCCAAAATCCAGGACTGTGAAAAAAGAAACCAGCTTGACATGAAAGACTGCTTGAAGTAGATGGGTATGTTTTTTAAACACCATTGCAACGATCATGCTGGTAAGGCTTCCAAGGTCTGAGCCCATGTGACTGGAAGCATGAGCTCTCTGCAGCTCGCCTTGCCGCAGGAGTACCCACAGCCTATAGTAGGGCACCCCTGAACAGAAAGGCTGCATCAGTCACAGATGGTCTTTTTCCTCATGCCACATAAGAAGTAGGGAAGGGAAAAGACAACATTTAGCAAGTGCCAGGCTTGAAAGTAGGATATGGTGATTTTACTTTCTAGAAATATATTTGAGAGGCAACCCATGAAGAAAAAAAATCAGAATTAAACTCTTTCATGTTAAGGATAAAGATATCCTGAACATAAAGAAGCAACCAGAAGCTATGTGGTCTCTAGTTTCTCCCTGATATCTTCCAGGTATGTTTTGTTTATACTGGAAGACCCCATGGTCACCAGGCAAAAGCATGTAACCTTGCTTGGTTAATGTGATGCAAAACTCTAGCACTGTCCTAAACCTCCCTTCACTTACATGTCAGCACTGCAGCCGCCCTGTGCTGGCACAAGCATGCATGCAACCATGCAGGCACCTGGGCTCAAGGGGAGAAAGGGAAGTCAGTTGTGAACCAGACCTTCTGCCCTCCTCTGCTACACCTCTGTTCCTGCATGTATGGGAGAGGCTGGGAACAAACCACCAAGCCTGAGGAAGAAGGTAGACTGTGCTGGCTTTTGTCTGTTTATAACAAGACAGAACTACATCATGCCTTTAAAGGAATCCTAGTGAAGACAAAACATCACATCAATTAATAAGCTTTCTATTATTTGAAGGAAATACAAAGTATAAGCAATTGATGAAATAAGGTACCACACAAGCTGTGCTGAGCAACCGATTTCAAACGTGAGCAGAGTCCTATGAAGAAAATACTTCAGACATCAATGCTTATAGTTCAGCTAATGTTATCTGTGTTCCTACAAACCTTGAATGAAAGCAGGCAGATATGTCATTAAGCTCCTCATGCTTATATAAAAAAAAATAAAACCTGAAAATCTCTACCAGGCTTTTGATGTCAAGTCAAAACAATACAAAGGTATAAATCCAGTCTTCAGGCACCCTTCACAATAAATACATCCACACTCCAATAAGCAGTGCTACAAATGTAATCAAGATATAGGTAATACTGAAAAAGATTCAGTGCAACACCCAATTTGTTTAATATTGACCAACTTTATGATCATTTAGGAAACATTTAAATCAGCTCAAAGGAAGGAATCCACCTTATTGGCCACCCTGAACTTCTAAGTATACACAAATCTATATAACACTTTGCTTGAGAACTAAACTTTAGTTAAGAATTGTTCTCCTACCAGCTAGCTAGCAACATAGTATTTTTCAACATCAAATCATCTTTGGTGCACTAAATTAGGACTAAGGCAACATCCCATAGTTGGAACAAATATTCTGATTAGTTTTCACTGTTAATAAAAGCTTCTTTTATAAAAGAGGAAGGAAGGGAGATAAACAGTGACACAACCTTTCCTTGTCTTTCTCCCATCCTGTTCTCTTCCTTCTTTTTACTTCAGACTCCCAGGCGTTGGCAGCTCATCTGCAGAAATCACCTGCCTTCCCCCTTCATCTTTGCTCTGGATCTTCTTGAAGTTTTCAACTCACTGTTGGATCCCTGGCCTCACTGCTAGGCTGTGGCACTAACAACCCTGGAAACACCCAAACAGGGTCTGACTAGATGGGAGTCTTGGGATAAGCAGCTCCAAAAGCTGTGTAGCAGTGTCCTGCGTGGGGCAGAGGAGCTCTAACATAACCAAGAGCAAAATAAACCTATGGACTTAATATCGGTATCTAAGTATGTAAGAAGTACTTTTCACTATTTTTGTTGTGCTCAAAAGGTCAAACCAGCCACAGCTAGGGGGAATCAATTTGATCTGCATATAAATACCAATTTAGTCTGAACTGTACTTTCACAATTACACTGCACCTAATTATTGCAAGACAAATCCTCCACTGAATATTTAGAACCTGTCAGATTTAAAAACTGATTACAAGTGTAGTTAGTAGAAATGTTATTGCAACTTTTTACCTCGCAAATCAGGTTTCCTCCTAGCCCCTCCCTTCTCCCAGAACACTCCCACATAGTATCTAAATTCTTTGATAATGGGAAAAAAACCTAGAAAGCAAGCAAGCAAATGCTGATTAAACCAAACCAGAACTAGCTAAACTACAATCACTGGAAAAAAGAAAAAAAAGAAATTGTAACTACCAGTATGGAAAAGCAGATTAAGCTATGGGGAAAAAAAAATACTCCTAACACTTCAAATGCTTAATTAGACTTTCTTAGGTAAATTATTTAACCTGACAATGCTCCTTGCATAAACAGGTGTAGTGGTTTTGGTTGGGATAGAATTCATTTTCTTCACAGCAGCTGGTATGGTGCTGTGTTTTGAATTTGAGACCAAAACAGTGTTGATAACACAGGGGTGTTTCAGTTATTACTGAACAGTGCTTGCTTACATGGTATCAAGGCCTTTTCTATTTCTCACACTGCTCCCCCCAAGCGCATGTGGGCTGGGGGTGCACAAGAATTTGGGAGGAGACACAGTCAGGACCACTGACCCCAACTGACTAACGGGATACCCTAGACCATAAGATGTGCTCAGTAGTAAAACTGGGGGAAGGAGGAGGAAAGGGGACAGGCATTTGGAGTTACAGGATTTGTCTTCCCAAGTAACCTTTTCATGTGATAAAGCCCTGCTTTCCTGGGGATGGCTAAACATCTGTCCACTGATGGGAAGTAGCAAATTAATTCCTTATTTTGCTTTGCTTGCATGCATAGCTTTTGCTTTACCTATAAAACTTATGAATTGAGATAAAGACAGTTTACTCGCTTTTGCCCTCCTAATTCTCTCTGCACCCCACTGCAGGAGAGGGAGTAGCTGCGTGGGGCTGAGCTGCTGGTTGGGGTGAACCCACAACAGGCAACAAAAATAACTGGCCATGGTTTTTTGTTTGTAATTTAATGACTTCTGTTTAAAACTATCACTTAATATTCAGTAATTTTATCCTTGTTCTGTTACAGGTATCAGTAATTATTGTAAATCACATCATGATAAAGCCCTTATTTATATAAGGCATTATTTGCCTGAAGAGCAGCAACACCTGCTTTCATTTAGGTGCTGGTGTTTCTGTTTATTAGCAGATAAGACATGGTTAAAAGAGGAAGTGCTGCATTTCCCCTTTTTTGATTTATGATCAATATGAATATTGAACTAGCACAGCATATAAACAGATTCTCTCTTCCTCCACGTCTATTATTCCAGGTAAAGTGTTCACAATGACGTTCCCAGCATTGATGAGGTTGTGCCATTTCTGACATTAAAAGGCCCAGAGCTTAATCAAGAACCATCAACTGGATGATGAGGATTCAGAACTGAAACATGACAATTAAGATACCTCTTACCTTTCAACACGGGGTTTCTATGGGGACAAATGACAAGTTTTTCTGGTGCATCACTGTTACCCAATCCTACTCAGTATTTTCAAGGGGCTACCTACATATGGGTTTTTTCCTACCCCACACTAGCCCATTTACCCACCTTTTTTATATGGTGGAGTATTTTAAGCCACCACCAGTTCATCAATAATTTAGCAGGTTTACCACAAGAAGTGGGGAAGGATTCTCCCATCATAGAGCCTGAGCCTGCACCAACTCAATTATTGGTCGACCCCCTTCCCAGTCCTCAAAGCACAGGATGACCCAACAGCCAAAAATGCTCAGAAGAACAATTCATCCAGCCAGGAAGTCCTCACTACTGTCATAAGGAAACAAATATAACAGAAGGAGAAGATAAAGCCACAATGCAGGTGGAGGTATGACAACCCCAAAGGTACCTAGAAACAAGTCACAATGACAACCCTCATCTCGTTTTTGGATACTGCCCAGGTGAACAGGACTGGGCTGGGCTGCAGCTGAGGGCACACTCTGTAACTCCAGAGAATGATATCCAAAAGCCAGGAAGCAATCAAAGAAAGACAAGTCAGTTTTTCAGTAAAATAAGTCAACTACTTCCAGGTTTCACTGGCTACCTCCTCAGCACCAAGGGGAATACATGCTGCTTTTCCCTTGTTAAGGTTCAACCAACACAAAACCTTACCTGATGCACTGGTTCATTCAGAGTGCATTAACAAAGCTGTGGTCAGCAAAAGTACTTAACCATTTCTCTATGAGAGCAAGCACAAATTCAGATGATACAACAGAAAATTACAGTAATGATTGTTCTGCTCACCCACATATAGCTAGAAGCATGTAAGAAGCGCTGACAGAAATGAGATGTGTGTCACATACAAGTAGACAAATGGGAGGAGAAAGAACAAAAATTAAGAGCTCTGCAGGAAAACTGAAGATTGAGATCACAGCCAGACAACATGCCTTGCCCATTATTATAGAAAAGGTGTCTCAAATTCAGATGTTCTCTTCTGACCAGCTTCCTATTGCCTTTCAGGCCCAAAAAGTAAAGTTGCAGACACAAGATGTGTAAATATGACAAGACAGTTGTGAGGTGATGCCTGAAATTGTTACCAGCAGAAGAGGACAGGCACAGTCAATTCTTCATGTTTACTTGCCATAACACCACAGAAAGCTAAGCAACTGTTTATTCTGCTC